AGTTGCCGCCCCGGTGATTCTTCGAGGATCGACGGCACTCATCTGCATGTCATACTGACTGTCAGTATTCTTTCTCTTCCCCAGCAGACTCCAAGGGCATTTAAAATTAAAGGGTACAGTGTTCTGCACTAATATAAAGGCTCACTGAAGCCTAGAAACACCCTTTTATAAGTTAAATTCGCAGGCGAATATATTCGATCGACTCGAATCAAAATTTTTTTCCACGAATTCGCCGAATCAGTCGAATCGAATTTTTGAATACTTCGCTCATCTCTACATGTAATATTCTAATTTTCTGAGATTGTGTGGATTTGGGGTTTTCATGAGTTGTAAGCCATAATCATCACAATTATGACAAATCACTGTTTGAACTATCTTTGCTTTGCATGTAATGAGTCTATCTCACATATTAGTTTCACCTTTTAAGCTACATTTCTGAAATAAATGAACTTTTGCACAATTTTCACATTTTTTCGAGTTTCACCTGTAAATGAAAAAGTCCAACATTTTGCAAATACATAATCTTTCTTCATAAATCTTGGCCACAAATGATATTTATCTATCTTTTTAAGTAAAAAAAATAACCCAAATTAGTTTATAAAACCAAAATACATTTGTATTTTTTTTATATTATTATTTTATGGGGTTTTTTTTTTTAACATACTGTCACCCTAGCAGTACAGTGTCACCATAGTATGACACTGTACTACTTATGGGAGGTGATGAAGATTTTTTTTCTTTTTTACACTGATTGCTTTTACACCCATAAAGGCTGTAAAAAAACAATAATTTCTCCTTCTCTCTGGCTGCATCCCTGCAGCCATTGAGAAATACTGTGAGAGCTGTGATTGGTCGCAGCTTGTCACATGTCGGGACCTCACACTGAGGTCCTGTACTGTGATTGGTGTTCCGCTGTGTCCGGAGGGAGCGCACACAGGCAATGGATACGGTAGGACGTTCAGAAACATCCACCCGCATCGGCAGCACTCCTGTCTGGCTGTTTGTTGGCCGGAAGGGAAGTGGTTAAGGAGCTTCCACCTTCCATATATTCTGTCATTGATTCCAGCATGGACCAAGACAGATGGGCCATACCTAGCCCCTTCCCATAATGTATCAAACCCGTTCCACCACATGTCGAACCCAGGCACCAGAGAGACTGTAAACCATTCAGTTGAGGCGATCCTAGCGACAAATCATTCTATCAGTCCTTCTGATTATAGAATCCCCTACTACCACCAACTGTCTAGGCCTTCCTGCACTACCCTCACCACCCCTCCCAGATGTTCTGCCCTCCCGCTTTTTAGGGATAGCAGTGACATCCAGGGCTGCCACCCCTGAGCTTGCCACCCCCACATCTTCACCCAACTTGCCAAATCTGTTTGGGTGCTCAAACCCAGGGCCAGCCTTCCTTTTCTGTTAGCCCCTACCACTCCTTCACATTACAGTAACCCACCTTCCTACCTGATAATCCTGATTAGCCCCTCCACCCTGGACGTTTGTGCAGTTGAAACTTCAAAGTGCCACACAGTGTGCCTCCATAGGCCTCAGTACACACATACACGTGCTGAAATCACTCTGTTTTCTAGTGTGATACAGGCATGTGTTTCTGATTGAATACCATAGTATTTTCAATGCTATATTGGATCTGCCTTGTCCATAGAAATTTCATATGCACAGAGTCTCTCTCTCCCCCCACTCTCTCGTTCTCTCCCCCCCCCATCTCGCTCTCTCTTTCCCACACTCTCTTGCTCTCCCTCCCCTCTCCCTCTCCCCTCTCCCTCCATTTCTCGCTCTCTCTCTCCCCCTATCTCGCTCTATCTCTCCCCACGCTCTTGCTCTCTATCCCCCCCCTCTCTCTCCCCTCTCCCTCTGCCCCCCCTCTCGCTCTCTCCCCCCATCTCACTCTCTCTCTCCCCACTCTCTCGCTCTCTTTCTCCCTCTCTCTCCCCTCTCCCTCCCATTCTCTCTCTCCCTCCCTCTCTCCCCTTTCTTTTTCCCCCTTTCTCTCTTTTTTCTTCCCCTATCTCTCTTCTCCCTGTCTCTCTTTTATTCTTCTATCTATCTCCCCCCTCCCTTCTCTTTCTCTCTCCCCCTGTCTCTCCCCTCCCCCGCTCTCCCCCCTCTCTCTTCCCGACGCTCTCTGTCCCCCACTCTCTCTCCTTTGCAAAAACAGAATTGCATCATAGACATCATCTTAGAATGTCACTATTCTCTATCAACTGAGAATTTGGATTGCGTTGTTCCAAAATCACACAGGACCCTTTTTAGAAACGCAGTCAAAAACACACTGCAGCTGAATTGCATGTATGTGAACCACCTCCATAAGAACACATGCTGTCTGACCTGTCATACGAATTAGTGTCCATTAAAATGCATCACAGATCGCATGTGTGAATCAGGGCTAAAACATGTACATGCGGATAGTGTAGTAGTTCTTGTCAAGTACATGTCCATCTACAGGAATGTTTAGCAGGGTAGGCTTTTTCTGAGGATAAGCAATGTTCAGTCTTTTTGAGCATGTGATCTACCAAGATTCATTGATCATGATAACGGTATCTACATACAGTTTATAATATAACTAAAGGCAGAACCTTTTTTCATTTTGTAAGTGAGGGATAGAACCCCTGTCAATTTCTTTCCATCTGTGTGCTATAGGGGGATATCTCCCTTTATTTCCTGTCCCAGAGCCAAAAAAAGAAGTGAGAGGAAATTCCTTTAAAGTTAAGGAATTCCAATGTTACGCCAGGGCCACCACAACTAGTAGAAGACCATGGAAGATTTTCCCTCTATTACTGTTCTGATGTCAACCCAAAATTTGGGATTTTTCATTTACTTCAATGATAATAGTAAACAGGACAAATAGAAAGGATGAATCTCCCTAACAGAGGCAATAATAAAACCTGACAGGTGTTATAATCCCCCTCCACTCTATCCAAAACTAAAAAAAAAACCATACACAGTTTTAGTTACACTTTAAATAAAAGGATTGTCACATCATTTCTCATGATTTAAGCTTTGAGCAAAACGACAACATATGATGCAACCATTAATATGGCCAACCAATGCAAAGCATTGAATCACAAGCACAATTCACAAAGTAACCTTAGTAATCCAGTATAGTAGTAGAGAGCATAGAGAGAAAAAGACAAACACCAAAAGAGCTGATGTATATGGAACCAACACTGAAACTCACCAATCTTTGGCTGTTCCCACAGAAGTACACACAAAGAGATATGCATCCATGCAGACTAAGGAATCCAACAAACCCATTGTCTATGAACAGGAAAAAACTCTATATGCAACAATATATATGTAGCATTAAAACCTAAGGGGGTGCATCAGAGAGGGAAAATTTCAGCAAAAGGAAGACAGCAGCACAAGGGTCACAACTCACTAAAGGTAAGTGATGTCCCTTGTGCTGATATCTAAGCATGCATCTCATACATTCCATGCAAGTTAGCTGCAAAGTGGCCTAGCAAATGTCATTTGTACTATTCTTATCCATACAAAAAAGCAGGTGAAATATGAACATACATAGTAAATAACAATGTTTATATAATGTTCTATCAGTTAGTAAGAGCATCTGTTGCTCTGTTTTTTTGTTTTAGCTTAACTTAGACTTTAAGTTTGTGTAAAAGCATGCAAGTATGAAGCCTGACATGCTAATATTAAGGGCTCGTTCATGGAAGAGCCTTGTTCCTGTGCAGCTTCCCACACTGCATTCTGATCGCAATGCCCTTGCGATCTGCTTCGGGGGTCAGTAAAGTTAAGGACACCCTGAATGCAAGGTGCAAATGCATTGTGTTTCCCCGCACTGGCCAGCACCAAACCGCATGATACAAAGTGGTTGCCGTCCGTTTTAAAAAAGTAGTGCATGCACTACTCATAGTGCGGTGCGGTGTGATTTCAACCCATTTAAATGTATGGGCTTGAAATCGCTCACCGCATAGACCCGCATATGAATCACACAGGAATGCACAGCGCGTTCATCTGTGATTCAGAAGTTTTAACATTACAAAAGTTTTAACATTAATAGGCTCAATTCACAAAGCTAACCCTGCAGATATTTTTCTCTTGAGTCCAATAATATTTTAAAACTATAGCCACATGGCCTATTTAAATGATTGGGCTTGAAATCGCACCGCATAGACCCGCATATGAATCACACATGAACACACCGCACGTTCATCTACGATTCAGATCAGGACATAGTGTGAACGGCCCTAAAACCTGAATAGTGCAAACATTTTAAAATTAATAGGCTCAATCCACAAAGGTAACCCACCAGCTATTTGTTCTGCTGAGTCCGGTGCAGTGTGATTTCAGCCTATTTAACCACTTGCCTACCGGGCACTTATAACCCCTTCTTTACCAGGCCAAATTTCAGCTTTCAGCGCTGTCGCACTTTGAATGACAATTGCATGGTCATGCAAGATTGTACCCATATGAAATTTTTTATCATTTTTTTCTCACAAATAGAGCTTTCTTTTGGTGGTATTTAATCGCTGCGGGGCGCTTAACTTTTTGCGCTATAAACAAAAAAAGTGCAAAAAATTTGAAAAAAAATTTTTATTCTTTGTTTCTATTATAAAAATTTTTAAACAGGTAATTATTCTCCTTCACTGATGTGCATTGATGAGGCAGCACTGATGGGCACTGATAGGCGGCACTGATGGGCACTGATAGGTGGCACTGATGGGCACTGATAGGCAGCCCTGATGGGCACTGATAGGCAGCACTGAAGGGCACTGATAGGTGGCACTGATAGGCAGCACTAATGAGGTGGCACGTATAGGCTGCACTGATAGGCAGCACTAATGAGGTGCCACGGATAGGCGACACTGATAGGTGGCACTGATAGGTGGCACTGATAGGCGGCACTGATGATGGGTACTGATAGACAGCACTGATAGGTGGCACTGACTGGCATCACTGTTGGGCACTGACTGGCACAACCACTGGGCACTGACTGGTGGCACTGACTGACAGCACTGCATTGATGGGCACTGGTGGGTGGCACTGGTGGGCACAGGTGGGTGGCACTGGTGGGCACAGGTGGGTGGGCACAGGTGGGTGGCAATGCTGGGCACAGGTAGGTGGCACTTCTGGGCACAGGTAGGTGGCACTGCTGGGTGGCACTACTGGGCACAGGTGGGTGCACTGCTGGGCACAGGTTGGTGCACTGCTGGGCACAGGTGGGCGGAACTGGTGGGTGACACTGCTGTGCACCGATCATCAGGGCACTGATCATCAGTGCCCTGATGATCGGTGCCGATCCCTGCTCTGACAACTGGCGGTTCTCGGCAGTACTTTCCTCGCGCTCTGACAGCGTGAGGAAAGTGCAGCCGAGAACCGGTAATTGCATTTCCCGGTGATCAGCGTGTCATTGGACACAGCTGATCACGTGGTAAAAGGCCACTGTGATTGGCCTTTTACCACATCACGTGATCAACTGTGTCCGTAGGACACAGCGATCACAAAGATCACCAGGTGCGCGCCCCCGGGGGCGCGCAGGAGAGCGCATTCTGGGAGGACCTCATATGACGCCCTCCCAGAACTGGCCGGCCGCAGTGTAGCCGCCATTCAGCTATCTGCGGTTGGCAAGTAGTTAAATGATTAAGCTTGAAATCGCACCACACTGTGGAGTGGCAATCATGTTGACTGACTATAGGTTTTTAGTAGAAAGCGTTAGAAAGGGATAGGGAGAATATAGATAGGGGGAGTTATGGGGATAAGGGGGAGAGGTTGAGAAGGGGTGGGGGTATAGAAAAAGGACAGTTAATGTTGTTTATGTTTGATAATGTATGTATTGTTTTAATTTGTATTGAAAGAAAATTTTATAAAAGATATTAATAACAACAAAAAAAAAATCTCACCACATAGAACCGCATATGAATCTCACAGGAACGCACGTTCATCTGCGATTCAGATCAGGGCATAGCGTGAACCAACCCTAAAACCTGAATAGTGCAACGTTTTAACATTAATAGGCTCAATTCACAAAGCTAACCCAGCAGCTATTTTTCTGCTGAGTCCAATAATATTTTAAAACTATAGCCACATGGCTGAAAATAAAGATTCTTAAACGTGTAAAAATGTTGTGAATAGAGCCTTAATTGACCTTACCTGTCTTTATTTTGCTCAAAAATATTCTAACAACATCCTTAGTGGCGGTGTAAAAATGCAACTCATAAAAGTCCAAATTGTCACATTATACCTTATACATTCCATGAAAGTTAGCTGCAAAGTGGCCAAGAAAATGTCACATGTACCATTCTTATCCATTAAAAATGCAGGCGAAATATGAACATACATAGTAAATAACAATGTTTATATAACGTTCTATCAGTTAGTAAGAGCTTCTGCTGCTCTCTTGAGCAGATATGCTATTTTACTACAAAACATACAGCATTTCTTTTATTGTGCTTGAATGTTGCAGCTTCAGTTATTTCTTTGCGATTTACAACAAAAACTTGTCAAATCATTCCATAACCTGTGAAATATTTACAAAGAGGAGCAAATATAGATGTTATGAATGTGAGGAACTCCTGTCTGAGGGATTATCTCAGCTAAGTAAGTGTTGATAGCTAACTGAGTCATATACTTAAACAGAAAATGAAAGCCCCTATTACCACTATTTTTAGCTTCTAAACCATTTCCTTCATCTTAAACCTGATGAAAATTTGCAATAATTTTAAATGCAATGACTGTATTGTTTAATTAGATAGCAAACTCATTTGGTGAATTTGTCGCACCTATTCCAAGAGCTTAAAAAATTAAAACAGCTCTGGGGGTAATTGAGGATGATAGTATGGATAATGCCACAAGAACTTTTATGAGATTATTTTTCTATGTGCGTAAACTGATAGTGTTACATTGGGCACAAACAGATGTCCTTGGCTTAGCAGCCTGGAAAACATTGTACATTTTATTATCCCTGTATATGAAATGACATATCAAGTTAGAGGATGTCCACAAAAATTTCTGTGAATATAGTGTAGATGGACGGAGTCCTCAAATACGGTGGAAGATAGCCCTTGAGGAATATAATTAGTGTATTGTGTAAGATATACATGCCATCTGTCCACTGTATCATTTTGATTATATGGTGGACTAGTGATCAGTATAACACTGACATTAGTATATTGTTATGTGATGGGAGGATAGTGGTTTACTCTGAAAAGTTTGGTTTTGTATTTATTTCTTTTTGTTTTTTCTCTTTCTGTTTGTGATTTTTCTTTCTCTACTTATGTAATAACCTCAAACTGATGAATCCAAAAACCAAAAATGTGAAAATGCTCTATGTACTTATGGTTTCATTTATTGTTTTCATTATGGCATGGCTTTGCTGATATCACTTGTCTGGGAACTCATTTGAGCCACAATGTGTGCTGTCTTGTTATGACTGGACAATACTTGTGGAAATAGGACTGTTTTTTTCCCCCCTTTTTTTTAAGATTCCTGTGCCTGGTACTATGTCTTAAAGTGTTACTAAACCAAGGACCCTGCATTCACTATATCTGGCCTCCCACAGTACACAGAACATGGAAGTGCAATTATTTTAGTAAATATAAACTGCTAAATACCTTTTCTCATCAGCAGTTAGAGCAGTCTTGTGACTTTAATCAATGTTCAGCAGAGCACATGTTAAAGCTTGTAGAAGGAGTTTTCGTTCTGCTCTAGGAGGATGCAAAACCCCTACCTCTGTCTGGACAGTGCTCATTGGCCCTGTGCTGATCACATGCACTCTCCCAAGAAAAAAAAAACCTCTCTATCAGTACACACTAAAGTGAGCATGTGCAGAATGGCTATGGTTCAGTCTGTTTTTATCAGGAGATAAGACGTGGACATTTGAACAAGAGGAGGAGCAGAGAAGTCAGGATCAAATGGCCTTTTCACACAATGCAGAGGATTAACCCCTTAGGTTCCATAGTGAGTATACCAAGCATGCATATACAGACTGATTTTACTGTTGTGGGCAGGGGCGGACTGACAAGTCATGGGGCCCCCGGGCAATAGGGGATCATGGGGCCCCTATGTCCTTGCCCAAACTCAAAAAAGCCTATGAAAAAGGTACCGGACGCATCCCATGGGGCCCCCTACTGACCCTGGGACCCTCGGGCAGTGCCCAAGTTTCAAAATGGTCAGTCCACCCCTGGTTGTGGGTTTAGTAACACTTTAAGAAATGTTATGCCATGTATGTTTGTGCATATGGCAATAACAATTCTTGAAAAAAAAAAAAAGTAAAACAGCACAAATGTTTTCTAGAGCTGCTAAAGACAAAGGGGTGGATTTACTATGTGCGAGCAAAAATGCTGTTTTTTTTTCCTTGCATATGATTGGGTATTTTTTACAAAGTGAAGCTTCACCACAATCACTAAGGTCTTTGGAAAATGAGTGCAACTGCACTTCCACAGTGCACAGTCTGTTTGCCTTTAGTAAATCCACTTCAAAGTTTTTAGACTACTAACTATTGCCAATTAAAAACGCTCAGTACAATTTATGAAACCAAAAGGTTGTAAATATAAAATTTAATTGATATCCTAAATCAGGAAACATGAATAATGTTGCTGCCTGTCTCAGGAGAGTGTTGTGTTTTTGAGGGTGCGCAGGGAAATCACATTGTCAAAATGACCATGCGGTTACCCTGCAGTCATATTTTTAAAAGGGTGCATGCACTATTTTTCTGTGGGAAACATGGGCATGACAGCCGATTCAAATAAATGAGCTACCCTGCCCGAGTAAACACGTGCCTCACACTGTCCACAGTAGTGTGAACTGAGCCTCAACGGACTTGTGTTCATTTACACCCACTTACCTCTGGGCTCAATCCAGTCTGCTGAGAAAAAAAAAAAACCCGAAGGGGATCTGTACTCTTCTGTTTAGGTGGATCGGATCGGAGGGTAGTCAGGTGTAAACTGACAGCAGAGTCTGTTTATACCCAACTGCCCATAGAGCAGAGCGAGCTCTGTCCGTGTCTGCTTTGTAGAAACTGAGAAGACATGGATGTGTCATCCTCTGGCTCTGCTCTGATCAGCAGGGGATCAGTGAGTGGATCCCCTGATGATCAGGACACAATTCACCTCATCAGAAAAGGTCCTTACCTTGCTGTTATACTCTAGGCAAAAACAAAATACATTTAAGAGTATAAAATTCTGCACCAGCTACAAAAACTTAACATGTAAATTTTGTGTGGACCAATTATTTAATATGTTCGGGAGAAAAGTTGCACTGGATCTGGAAATGTGGTGATCTCTATGATGACAGGCAGGTCTCTTCCATCACTATTGGCAAGCTACCATAACTGTGACAGATCCGGATAAATGCTTGGCAAAAAATTGACGTACATTCTTCAAACAGATTCTTAAAGAGCTGAATGGTTAGCAATAAAAGAAACACATGCATAGGTACTTAGTGGACAAGTCCAGTAAGTTTCCATCATGACTTTCTTGATGCGTTTTAGTTTGTCATTTCTTTCTATTCAAATAAAGTCTGGCCTTGTGTGTTGATACATTACATTATGTAAGTAGTGTGTTGCAGATAAGCATAAAATATATGTACTAATACCATCTATTGTACTGCAGACTTCATCAGGGTTATCTGCAGATGCAGAATCTGATTAGCCTTGGCAATACAGTTAAACTGTGGTGCGACTACTTTACTGAGATTAAATGGCATTTACAAGAACACATGATGAAGGTCTTATTGTCAGAATCAAACAGCGTCAACTATATATCATTTATAGACCGTAGAACCTAGCTGCTTAGTTTTAAAATATATTAGTCATTCTTATATAATAAATAAATACAGTATATATATTATTTTTGTTTTGTTTGAATGTGTTTGTACAGTGTATACTGAATATCAACCATTCAGCTGCAAGCAGTTTTTATATTTGTATATTCTGCTCATCTCAGGTCAGCCCTCCATCTATCCTATCTGGTGTCTTCCAATGTCAGTTTTGTCATCCAAGAGCTATAGGCCCCCCAAAAAAGAAACAAAAAACTGAAGAATAACAGCTTTTGATGAAGGCAAGCTGAGATCTTTTTTTTTACCTCTGTGCAAAGAAATCCGGGATTTGTAGGTATATATTCAGTTCCATTAGCCCAAAAATTCAGATGACATGGAAAAGAGATCTTTGGTTCACCTATCCATTCACCAGTTTATAAAAAAAAAAATCCAAAAAGAGACCTTTTTCTTTTAGGCCCCAGACCTTGCCTTCCATGTGTCAAAAAGAAAATTAGTGTTTTTGGACCAGCATTTCCCAGATCTATGAAGATATAACAGCTTTTGTTGAAGGCAAGCTGAGATCAATGCAGATGCCAGGCACAGAATTACATGGTTCTCAACTGAGTCACCTCACAA